ATGTGTTTATAAGTACAATGTATCTTGATCATTCTGACACATTTTGAGCATTACAGTTTGAAACTAGCCCTATTTCCAACTAACCAGTAAAAAACCAGATGTGAAGGTATGGCTCAAGCGGTAGAGCACCAGTCTTGAAAAGCCAAGCAAGAGCTCAAAAATCTGAGTTTAAGCTCCAAAAACACACAAAAAAAGGAAGAAACTTAAAAACTTTTCTTTTTTGGTGCTGGTCCTGGGCCTTAAACTCAGGGTCTGGGTACTATCCCTAAGCTTTTGTGCTCAAGCCTAGTACTTTACTACTTGAACCATAGCTCCACTGGCTTTTTTGGGGGGTAGATCACTAGAGATGAGTCTCATGAACTTTCCTGTCTAAGCTGGCTTCAAACTGTAATTTTTAGATCTCAGTTTCCTGAGTAGCTAGGATTATAGGTGTGAGCCACCACCACACAGCCAATGTTTTTGTATAAACAGAAAATATATACAAAATATATGAATGAAGAAGAAATGTCCAGATTTGCTCTATGTCACTGAAAAATAGTTTACACATACAGAAATGTGAATCTCTACATGGAGACATATTTGTGTATCAATTAACTAAGTCCAAATTAAAACTTTTTTGTGTGTGGCAGTACTGGGTCTGAACTCAGGGCCTTGAACTTTTGCTTAAGGCCAGTATTCTAACTACTTTGAATCTCAATAATCAGATCTCAGCCTCCTGAGTAGCAAGGATCACAGGAGTGAACCACCAGTGCCCAGCAACTTCTACTTCTTTCATTTTTTTTGTAGTTTGTAGAGCTTAAACGCAGGGCCTGGGCACTGTACCTGACCTCTTTTTCTTTTCTGGTTTTTTTTTTGGGTCCGGTCATGGGGCCTGAACTCTGGGCCTGGGCACTGTCCCTCAGCTCTTCAGCTCAAGGCAAGCATTCTACCACTTGAGCCACAGTGCCACTTCCGGCTTTTTTCTTTTTGGTTATGTGGTGCTGAGGAATTGAACCCAGGGCCTCATGCATGCAAGGCAAGCGCTCTACCACTGAGCCACCTTCCCAGCCCCTTCTTTCACTTTTTTGAAGAAGCTAATCAAATAGATAGCTCTTCTTTGAGTTTCATATTTTATATGGGTACTATGTACATTTAATAGACTTGTACATGTATTAATAAATTTTCTCCTGTTAGTCTATTACGAGATTATTACAGCAGGACTAAACTCTCAATCAAGGAGGAAGAAATTTCCTTGGCCTCTCCAGTTTTGAAAGGGTCAGTAGGGTTCCTAAACAGGCTGGGAAGGTGGCTCAGTGGTAGAGTGCTTGCCTTGCATGTATGAGGCCCTGGATTTGATTCTTCAGCACCACATAAGCAGAAAAAGACAGAAGTGGTGCTGTGGCTCAAGTGGTAGAGCACTAACTAGCCTTAAGCTGAAGAGCTGAGGGACAGCGCCCAGGCCCAGAGTTCAGGCCCCATGACTGACAAAAAAAAAAAAAAAAAAAGGAAGAGATGTATAGGGTAGGCTTTAGGGCATGGTGTTCTTGGGCTGCCATGACATTTGTCTGCTACTTTCCAAACAACACTACATACTCAGCAAATGGGAAGTTCCTTGAAACTGATCCCCTCGCCCTGCCTGCCCCAGGTACTTGAGCTTGAATTCAGGGCCTTGAATGTTCTTGCTGGCTCACAGCTGGCACTCGACTATTTGAGCTATACCTGTAGTCTATTTTTTTTGTGTGTGTCTGTTTTTTTGGGGTGTGGGTGTGGGGGAGGGCTGGCTTATTGGAGATTAAATTTTGAAGAATTTTCCTTTTTTTTTTTTTGGCGGGGTCCAGTTGTGGGGCCTGAACTCTGGGCCTGGGCGCTGTCCCTCAGCTCTTCAGCTCAAGGCTTGCACTCTACCACTTGAGCCACAGCACCACTTCTGGGTTTTTTCTGCTTATGTGGTGCTGAGGAATCGAACCCAAGGCCTCATGCATGCAAGGCAAGCACTCTACCACTGAGCCACCTTCCCAGCCCCTAATCAGGCTTTTTAATGTAGATATGGCTGATTGCACCTTGGCCACTGGTGGTCAATTCAACCATCAACCTCTAATCCCTCCCCAGAGGGGTGGAGCTGAAAGTCTGGACCCTCTAATTATGCCTAGGTCTTTTTGGTAACCAGCCCCACCAAGAAGTTAGGTAGGGGCTCCAAGATTACTTGTCATTTTACTAGCACACAAAAGACCTGCCAGTCATTCTTGAGAATTCCAAGATTTTAATGGTTGTGTGCTAGGATCCAGAGTTGGTGACCAAACGTATATGTTTTATTATAGCACAAAGTCACAGAGACTTAACAGAATTAAGTATTTTGAGATAACTTGTAAAGCAATCAGAATGGGAGATAATGTACAAAACAAATACATAGTAAATAACAGATACAGATAATTATGTTCAGAAGATCTTTTTATCCTATCATGTTGCTCAAGTGGAAAAAATTAAGCTTTTAATTTTAGGAAACAAAGGAATAAAGAAACAGATTTCTCCAAATTTGAGTCTGAATCAATGGGGGAATGATAGTCATGACAAAATTTAAAAATATAGAGATACAAGTTGCAGGTAGGAAAAAAAGTAAGGAACTTTAGACTGGCAGAAATTTCCAAAAGGCGGAGGTATAGATTTGGATAGACATAGAAATGTGTAATTTGTCATTAACATAAAATTTACTCAACCTCAAATGTGAGGCACCAAGAAAGATATAAGTGATAAGTGGCTCCCTTCTAAAACCTCAGACTTCAGTCAGGAAAATTAGATTATGTGCACACAAATGCTACCTGGTATAAAGTGAGAAGTTCTCCAAAGGAAACAAAATGTTTAAGATGGTTCAGATAGTAAGTTTTTTCTAAATTTCATTTTGGAGACTTAGAGAAGGAACCAAATTAAGTTTTCAAGGGGGAAAACATTAGAGTTAGGTCTTGAAAGTTGGATATGAGATGATCATATATAGTTGGGGAGCCCTGGGATAGGGAAAGGTGGTCTTGGATGATCAAGTAACCTCAGGATTTAAAGACAGGAAAAGATTCTGGATGTCATTTGGTAAATAAGACTTGGTTGAGACAGATTATAAAAGGTCTCTTCACAAAATATGTAAAAGAAAGAAGAAAAAGGAAAAAAATGAAACACCAAAAGTCTGAATTTTAAGGAAATGTTCTTGGTGACAGCAATAAAGACAGTCTTTAAGTGGAAGAGGTAGAGGCTCAATCACCATTTGTTGATTGAATGGCTAGCCCTCTGTAGAAGTAGAAAAGAAAAAACCAAAAACCCCACAACACCTAAGAAATGACAATATTGATTACAAAATGAGAATCTGGAAGTTATTTGAATATAGTATAGAAATTACAACCTACTGTAATCTATAAAGAAAAGCAAAAACTTCCTAAGTATAAAATGTCACAAATAATCAAATATCTCATCTACTTCAATAGTTATCTGAACATGTCTCTGTAGTATTCCTAATTATTTAGGAATCCAGATAACTTTAAAATGTAAGAATTTAAAAATAATATGATAAAAAGCAAATATTCAGGGCTGGGAGTGTTTCAGTAGTAGAGATGCTGCCTAGTATGTGTTAGGCCATGAGGAGGTTGAATCTCGAAAACCAGTATCAAAACCAACTCAAAACAAAACAAAATCTTTCATATGATAGGAAGGGGAAAGATGACTGAAATAGTTCTGGAGAATTAATCAGATAATCTTTTCTTCTCAGATTAGAAACTATATTAAACATACTGCCTATAGCAAAGCAAATAAATCAAGCCTAGAAAGTTACTAGGTGAATACAGAAGAGACACTTTAGATTTAGACACTACATCTACATATGTTTTATCATTACATAAGGAAGAGTATGAGTTCTATGGTGAAGTTATTACACTAAGGTGCTATTTCTACCAATAAAATACTAAGTAAGGGCCAAATAGTATCAGTATTATTTTTAACAGTCAGATGAAGCCAGAATCAATAAAATTTTTGATTCTTTAGAAGTTGAATAAAATAATTTACCATGTATGTTTCTTAGGCTTCAAAGTCTGACTCCCATTTATACATGTGTATGTTTGTGTGTATGTGTATCCCCAAGCATTTTACTGCAATATATTTAAACGGAAAAATTAAAATCTGTGCCTAAAGTTAAAGGACAAGTGATTACCATAGATTTAATTATAGTAGCATACTTTACTAGGACCATATTAAGAATAATGACAACAGAGACATCTAAAAATGTTCCAGAGAACTGTTCTGTTTCAGCTACTATCTTGCTTATCTTCAGCGAAGGGGCAATAATACCAAATTTTAAAAGCTGTCCTTGGTAACTGTAAAAATTGTGTTTAGATATACACTCACACGCTAATATCCACATATCTACATCTCTACTTCAATACCTCATATACTCTGTGATGACAAATTAACTGCTCAGCCACATTGTCAACTGGTAGCAATACAAATTTCAATGGTTCTTTGTAAACATTTTTTTTTCAAACAAGTAAAGGAGGAAGCAAGACATGTCTGGCTGTTTGAAATATCATATGAGGTAACATTTTCTAAACTTTCACAGAAATAAATATAATTTCATCTATATGGCATATTCACACTGCTAATCCAAGTATATGTAGACGTAATCTAGGAAATTTATGTAATGGCAATACTGCTAACTACCCTTAGTGGAAAACTCTTAATTATCACTGCAGCTTTATATATTAGACTAATTTTGATCAAATCATGTTTCTGGTTAGCTTCATTTAACTAAATCCCAATACAGAGTCATAGAAAATACAATATGCTTATTATATGTTATTTTTCTTAAACCATTGTTTACTAAGGACCAAGTATTGATTACCACTTAACTGTATTTTTCCATGCTCCCAAATGTGACTGTCATTCAGGATACTTTTAAAAAAGTAACAGAAACTTTTCGTTAAAATGTGGTTCATAGGATAAGAATTTGAAATTACATTTTCATGTACAAGTTTAAGGAATATACTTACCTTTGATTCGAGGTAGACATTTGCTGATGACATTTTTGTAATTTTGCATGTATAACTAACTAATGAGATGGCACAAAGAATAAACAAGCTATCATTAATAAGTGCTCGAACAAACACAGTCCATTTCAATTGATTTTCTGGGACATCTCCATGAACTAGCATTGCACAAGTCAAGTTCACCACTAAATAAAGAAGGCTTGCCAGTATAAAGCCCAAATGCAGTAGAATTCTGAAAAAGAAAAAGAGTATATTAGATGTTTATAAAACTAAGAAGTGTGTTTTTTATACAATTCTTTCAGCTTAAAATCTTTATAATTTTATTAAATATAAAAAAAAGAATTCTTCAGTTACTTGGGCTATTTGTGCTGTTATGACATTAGCATCAAAACCAGTTTCCAATGGCATAGATATTAAAGTATTAATTCAGAAATAATCTGATGTGGATTCACATTCAGATGTTTCTACTGGGAGGATAAGTTTGGACTATTTTAATACTATTTTGGGCACTCAGAAAATTTTCTTTTTGCTTTTTTTGTCAGTCGTGGGACTTGAACTCAGGGCATGGGTGTTGTCCCTGAGCTTCATTTTGCTCAAGGCTAGTGCTCTACCACAGCACCACTTCTGACTTTTTCTGAATTTATTGGAGGTAAGTGTCCCAAGGCCTTTCCTGCCTAGGCTAGCTTTGAACCTCAATCCTCAGATCTCAGCCTCCTGAGTAGTTAGGATTACAGGTGTGAGCCAACAGCACCTGGTTTCATTTTTTATACCTATTAAGCATAAACCTATTTTCATCAACCTTCCAACACTCTGTGTGTGTGTGCGTGCGTGCGTGCGTGCGTGTGTGTGTGTGTGTGTACACACACTGGGGCTTGAAACTAAGGAACTGGTTGCTTTCCCTGAGTTTTTTCACTCAAAGCTGGTGCACTACCACTGAAGCCACAGCTCTACTATCCTTCCTTTCATCCTTCCTTCCTTCCATCCTTTCCTTCTTCCTTTCCTTCTTTCTTTCTTTCCCTCCTTCCCTCCCTCCCTCCCTTCCTTCCTTCTTTCCTTTCTCCCTCCCTCTCTTCCTTCTTTCCTTTCTCCCTCCTCTCCCTCCCTTCTTTCCTTCCTTCCTTCCTCTCTCTCTCTCTCTTCCTTCCTTCCTTCCTTTCTTTCTTTACTTGGAGGTAAGAATCTCATGGACTTTCCTTGGAACCTCAAGGCTCAGACTCCTGATTAGCGAGGCTTACACAGGTGGCCCACCAGAGCCCAGCTGACCTTCCCATTCTGATAGTTACCATTAGGCTTTAAAAGTTGCCTAAAAAACTAATATGCTGCACCTAAATTTAAATTAATAATCTAAAATTAATAATTTTAAGAGTTAAGGAAATATGTTTTAAACAACATTTAGTCCTATGAATTTGGCTATCTATAGCAAAAACTGTTTTCAAACTTGAATACAAGAGGACAACAAGAGCAGATCACATAGTTTCAAGCCCACTACAATAGCTTATCTTCTATAGAAGTGCACATTTAAATGAAATATTTAATGTCCTCTCTTTAAGGGAAATTGGACCTTGTAAAAACTTAAGTAAGGAGTAGCCATCTGTATCAAATTACAATTAACAGTTCAGTGTGACAGAAACCCCAGTTCAAATACATTTGTATCCCAGTATATATGACCCAGAAACTTATTTTGTATCCTAACATCTATTTTGGTGGGAATCATAAATCTTCTGCCCTAGTAGTTATACACGATAAATTGAAGCTAATACATAGTTGGCAACACACTTTGTTCAATATACATGCAAGTACAAAAGTTTAAAAAGGCCCAATTTTTTCCCAGTCTAATAAATTGAGATTCTCCTGCTTTCATATTCTGAGTGCTGGGATTATAGGAGTGCACCATCATGTCTAGGTAAAGCTTAGATTTTAATAATCTCTTAGATTAAATAATAAAGTTATATATAGTTGGAAATCCAAAAAGGACCTTGAAAGTATATATCCAGGGTACTAGAATAATTTAGGGAAACAAAGTATAGAGAGGTTAAATGAACTGAATTATGGAATTAGGTTTGAAACTCTTGTTTCTTGGTTCCACAGCACTGGCATTGTTGGGTCTGATCAGTTGAAACATTTCTTAGTTTATGGAACAACGCTATACATTCTCACCAAACAACATAATCTAACTTTAGAATATGTGGACCCTGTGAAGCTACAATTGACATCTGAAGCAAGGCAGCACCAGAAAAAGAGAGAGAGAGAGAGAGAGACAGACAGACAGACAGACAGACAGACAGACAGAGACAGAGAGAGACAGAGAGAGAGGAAGAGAGAGACATAGAGAGACACACAGAGAGACAGAGAAACAGAGACAGAGGCAGAGACAGAGGCAGAGAGACAGAGAGAATACTAGCTTCACGGTAGAAGGAGAACTGTTGGATTTTCTGCGAAAGCACTCTCAACAACCCTTACTTTACCTTGACACTTTGATCAGTCTGCTATCAATACTTAGATCTTTTAGATACAAAGCATCAATATTAATGAATTAGTGCTTTAGATCTTTTAGAAATCTTTCTAGAAATTTACATACTCAGGAAACTTACTTGTGTTTGTCAAGTTCAGTGGCACATCTGACTTTACATATAACCTATAAAAAGTACAGAAAGAAAGTTTTGAAAACATGCATTCAATTTGGTTTGACTTTATGTTTTAAAGTCTACAAAAATAATAGACCGTAAATATTAGCAAATAAAGTTCAAATGTTTATATATGGATCACTGTGAAACAAGTATACACAGATTTCCAATGGTTTAAATGATGACTTTATTTTGAGACTTAAACTTTACCTTTACAATTCAAACAAAGGAATTCAGTTTAAACATTTATTGAACTTTTGTTATGAACTAGATATTGTGGTGGATGGCTTACCACCTATCCTAAGCTTCATTAAATTATATCTGTTTTGTCCTAAAATTGAACTTACTTCAATATGAATATAAATATGTTTTCAAAAATTATTTTCCTCTATGCTTAAATGAACTAATGAAAAGGAACGAGGGACTGTTGTGATCCATTACTGATGGTAACTTTCATCAACTGCACTTTTTGTTTTCTCCATTATAATTAATCAGTATCATGTGGAGAGATATTTAGAAACCATGTAAATATTTTTTATTCCCCAAACTTTCATCCATTACTTTTAACATTTATAAATGATTCTTGTTTGAATAAATTATGGAGAAATTTCTTTTGAAAAAAGTAAATCTGGTTGAAATGCAGTGGCTCATGACTGTAGTTCAAGCTACCCAGGAGGCAGAAGTTGGAAGGATTTTGGACTAAGCAAAACTGAGCAAAACCCCATCACAACCAGTAAGCTGAAGTGGGGTGGTTATTATCTTTGATCCCAGATATTGGGTTGTGTAGGTAAGAGGATCTAGGACAAAAGTTAGGCTATGGGCCAAACCACACAAAAAAAAGTTCATCTGTGGCTAAGGATGTGGCTCAGTGGTAGGGTGCTCACCTAACACATGCAAGGCCCTGGATTTGATCTCTGGCACTATACAAATACAAAAATTAATCATAATAATCCAGGAAAAAGTCCTCACCCTTCAATACATGGACGATGTCTTAGTAGCTAGGCCCATCTTCCTATCCAGTGTTTCCTTTTATCCTCTTACCTTCAATACTATGATCCAGTCAGTCTAAAATAGTTACAACTTTTCAAATACATGGTACAATTTCATATCTTCGTGCTTTTGTATATATTTGTATTTGAGCTGGAATATACTTTAATAGTAAAATAACAAATTCCAATTCATCTTTCAAGACTCTATTAGTATGTCATACTTTATATTGTTAGGTTAAGTGCCTTAAAGAAAGAGAAGCAAGTTTGTATCCTTATATTACTAGCCACATTCTAGCCATTTATATTTCCCTCTTAAGAAAGACTATAACTTACTCAAATTTACAGCCCTCGTTTCTAGAGTAATGCTGGGTTAAGAGCAGGTTTTGAAAACATGAGCAATGAATTTAGGTCAAAGCAAAAACTCCTATGTTGGTATATGCTGTGGTGTGATGGGGGTGTTGATGATGGTAGAAGTTGAAGCTGGAGAGGCAAGCTGTTCAACACAGAGTATCTTGTAAAAATGTCAGAGAAGTAGGCTTTAATACACCCTTAAACTCTGTAACATGATTAAAATTTTTTTTGCCAGTCCTGGGGCTTGAACTCAGGACCTGAGCACTGTTCCTGGGCTTCTTTTTGTTCAAGGCTAGCACTCAATCACTTGAGTCACAGTGCCATTTCTGCCTTTTTCTGTTTATGTGGTGCTGAGGGCTTCATGCATGCTAGGCAAGCACTTTACCACTAAGCTACATTCCCAGCCCTGTAACATGATTTTTGACTGAGTGATTTCTTAGGTTACTATAGAAAATGGTTAATTAAGGGAAGGTAGAGCATAAAATATTTGGAAACTGGGTTCAATAACAAAGCTTAAAAGATGGCCTCGAGAATGAGAGAAAATTGTTGCTAGCAGTATGTCTGGTAAAGGGTCTGATAACCAGAATATACAAGCTAAAAAAAAAAATAACAAAACCCTAACCTCCCAAAGAATTAACAAGCAAATTAATAAATAGGCAAAGGACACACTCCTCAGAAGAAGTACATATGGCTAAAAAATACTTGAAGAAGTGCTCAACATTTCTGGCCATAAAGGAAATGCAAATCAAAACATTTAGATTCCGTCTCACTCCAGTCAGAATGGCCATTAGCAACAATACAAACAACAATAAATGCTGGTAAAGATTCTGGAAAGAATCTTTAATATGTTCTTGATGTAACCACTATGAAAATCAGTATGGTGATTCCTTAAGATCTAAAAAGAATTATACCCAGTGATATGACTCCTGGGCATGTAGCTAAAAGATTGCAGGACAGGATGCAATAAAGGCACTTGACTGTCCATGCTTATCACAGCACGGTTCAAATAGCTAAGTTACAGAAACAGCCCAGATGTCCCACAATGGATGAATAACAAATGTGATGCAACTATATAGATATGAGTACACTGTTTGTTTATAAATGTACACATAAGTGTATATGTACACATATGCATATACACATACATATACACACATGTACACATATGCAGATATATACACATATGTATAAATACACATACACAATGAAATTTTATTCAACTATCAGGAAGAATGAAATTATGTAATTTGCAAGGAAATGGATAAATCTGGGGAAAAATCATACTGAATGACCCATGTTTTCTTTCATATGTGAATCTTAGACACAAAATACAACCTCCCATGTAAACATACACAGGGACATAAGTATATATATGTGATCAAGTTTTGTGTGGTATAGACAGAAGTAAAACTCCATGTAGTAAACTCTTGGAGCAATTAACAGACATTTTAACAAAATAAATCTAAGGAAGCTGATTTGAGGGGACTAATGTGAGGAAGGTGGATGAAAGGAAAAGGGAACAGGGGGCAAATACATCATACTCAGTGTACACAGGTGAAAAGGAAAGTGAGAAAATTCCTATGACTGGGGGATGGATGGGGAATAGATTTGAATGATGAAAAGAATGACTCTCATCACGATATACTAGACACATAAATGAATCTGTTAAACTATAACCCCTTGTACAATCATTTGATGATTAAAGAATAACAATAAAAAAGAATTCCAGTTCAAGGTCTGTTGACTTTGAGTGAGAAAACTAGACTAGGTTTTGAATATAAAGAGCTGTTAGAATAGGAGCAAGATAAATTTTCTTAAAATTCAGATCATGGAGTTGACTCTTATTTTAAAAATTTCTTAAATCTAGGCTAAAATAAGGATAGAAAGCAAATTTTGGAATATAAGGAAATCACAGTTATGTGAAGAAGTGGCAACTGAAATTCAAGTAGACGATAGAAGAGAACAAATGTGGATGAGAAGTTAATTTTCAATATATTCTTCTTTAACAATCAGATTTTAAAAGCCCAAGATTGAAAATGGGAAAGGGAGACAGTCAGACTAGCCATAGAAAACAGTAGAGTAGTTTAAAGGAAAGAAAGTACAGCTTGTGTTAAAATTTTTCAAAAGGTAAGAAATAATTGACAAAAGATCATTGATTGGGTGATTGTATAGCCCTGGTACATGCAAAGAATAGTTTCCAGATCTGATTTGCCCATGTCAGTAGCAGAATAACAAGAGAAATGCAAGGAATTATAGAAAGACACCAGAGGCAGTGAATATAGACTAGACCAAAAATATCTCAGGCTAAAAGAAACCTTAGATGACCCAAGAATATCTCATATATTTGAGTGGTCTGAGTCTTCTGAACAAAAGGCTTACATAGCAACCATCTTTGGAAGTTAGAGATTGAGTTTAACCTTAAGGTCAGAAGATTTGTTTCCTAGCTAGTGTAAAAGACAGAACATATCTCTTCCTGAGAATATTCCTTTAGAAGGGGAACAAAATGTCCCCTCTCTCTCTGGTATTGATTTGCTTACACTCCACAGTAAATGTCTATCTGTCTTTCTCTTATTTTTGAGTTCTTCCCCTTTAGCATACTTTGCGGTATATGTAAATAACCTTTAATGATGCCCTAATGATTGGATTTGTAAGACCTAATGTCAGGCTTTGTTTTAGATGTTGTTTCGTCACAAGTAATACCTGATTTTTGCCCCCTCTGGTCCATGAGCCTTATGTTTCTTGGAACTAAGCCTTGCTGGGGGTGTTACTGAATACTTACAGCCCCAGTACTTAGGAGGCTGAGGCAGGAGAACCTTAAACTCAAGTCAAAATCAATACAATTAATACACATTAAAAATGACATGTATAAAACTTGCTCTATTGGGGGAATACTAACAAGAGGGGGGGTGAATGAGGATAAATATAGCCAAAAGAGCTTATTTGCACATATAAAAATGGAACAATGAAACTTACTGAAATAGTTTTAAAAAGTAGTAGAGGAAGTAAGTTTGGGATACATTATATATACTTTTGGAACTGTAACAAAACACCTCTTGTACAACTAATGTATGTTAATTTAAAAAAAGAGAAGAATATATTAAGCTGCACAGGGCAAGTTATAGCTAAAGTCAGGCAGTTGACAGTAGATATGGTCTGCAAGATCTATTTTAAAATTGAAACAATAATAGAAAAAACTGGATACTATCATACAAAGTTCAAGTTTAAGTAGGTTGTAATTTTCACGTATTTAGACTGAGAAATGTAAACTTATTTTAGAGAAAGAACTTTGATGAATGAGCTGCTTTGGAAGAGGAAAAATGTCCAGAGACAAGGAATAATAGAATGGAGTAGAGAGGTCAGAAGGGATAAAATGACTAAAAGAATGGTGGGTGAAGCCGGGATGGTGGCTCACTCCTTTAATCCTAGCTACTCAGAAGGCTGAGTAGCCTCCTGAGTTCAAAGCCAGCCCGGGCAGGAAAGTCCATGAGACTCCAATAAACCACTCAGAAAACTGGAAGTAGCACTGTGGCTCAAGTGATAGAGCTCTAGCCTTGAGCTGAAGAGCTGAGGGACAGTGCCCAAGCCCAGAGTTCAAGCCCCAGGACAAAAAAAAGAAAAGAAAAGAAAAGAATGGTGGTGAAAAAATAAATAAAAGAGTAAATTCAAGATGA